ATATTTATATGACGAAATTGAATTCTATCAACACAAGTGTAGACGAGAAAAGTTTGATAATTATAATTTTAAATAAGTTGCATTTTTGTTGTATCATGATTTCAATCTCGATAAAAAATAACTTACATAATATATACAAAAGGATGGTAATTAGAACATGTAGTGCAAGGAAATCGATTGTAAATCTATTCTAATCGAGAGCGTGCAACGTGGTTGCAACTTACCGATGCAGCAGGACATGTAGGATATCGCAATACGTATTGTGCTGTAGTTAGCTTAGCACTCGTAATAGTATCGAGAAGTATATCGTTTTACGTCGATTTAATTACGTCTGACGATACCAGGCACGAGAAGGCACTCGTAACCAAGCCAATCGATTGAATGTTCTTTATGCTTTAACGAGGCTCATAAAATAACTACACTTATATATCATTACTTAAGATCAATTGTGTCTAATTATGTATCTATTACATCCTATCTGATTCTACAAACCGCGCGCAAAAATCTTTTTCTTGAAATGTAATCATAAGCGGAATAGTAACATCACTTTTTAAATTGATAAATAATTTAATAAATTTTAACAAATTTTAATAAACATCGTCTTTATAAAAATATTTATAATAGATGTTAATGAGAATTTTAAATCTGCGAATAATTCGTTGCAAATAATGTTTTAGTTGAATTAATAACATATAATAGAAGTGCAGTAGTGACACACTCTCTCTCTTATAAGAATAATTAAAAATAATTTAACATAAATTGTATAGTATATATAAAAATTATCCAAACCAGATTGTGAACTATACTTTATATGTTTTTGATAACATTTTACTTTCTATTTAATAATAAATAATTTAAAAATAAATTTATTAATTTTTTTTGTAAGATAATGTGTCGCTATTGATATTTTATAAAAATTAATTAAATATTAATTTTTTGTGTAGATGTGGATGAATGTGTGATAGAAAAACCATGTGGACAACTTTGCACAAATTTACCTGGTAGATATCGGTGTTACTGTAGGGTCGGATTTCAACTTCAAGAAGATGGCCAATCTTGTCGAAGAAATGGTAGAAATTTGCAAATTTTGAATCTTAATTTTTTTTTTCCGAAGAGTAGCTTTATGAATGTATATGTATTTCAAAATATTGCCAAAAATATATCAATTTTATTTAGAATATTTTATTATTATGTAATCTATGTAAAATATGAGCACTCTATAAATAGAAGACAGTCTGTGTATATAAATCTGTAGTATTTTTAGCTGATAATACAAACAAAATGTGTTCTTAAAAATAGATTTATTTTTTTTTACAGATACCGACGAAAATGCATTTGAAGCACGCGATTTGGAGACCGATGATATACCCGTAACAAAGGATCCGACAACTTTTCACGGTATTATTTTTAAAAAGATTTAAATCTACAAAAGTAGTACCTCAAATTTTTTAATGTGCACAAAGTTCCAATTATTTTAACTTTTCACCGGCACCGCACAAAACTTTATACAAATAATAAAATTTAGGTTCTTGCTGATGCTTTATACCTTTTTGTCACTACTTTCAAAACATAAGTGTATAAAAATTTAACTTTTAAAACAAAATTTTCACAATGTTTTATATTATTTAAATATAAAATAATAGAAACACATCATATACTGTGTCTTATAATACGGTAGCGAGGAGCATATCATATACATATTATTGCACAGGCTGTACCATATAATATTTTTATTTTAGAATTTTTATACTAATTTTGTTTAGAATAAAAGAACTTTAATAATCAAGCTCTATAAAAATGCATTTATTTTTTCGCAAAAATATTCTTGAATTCTAGATACAGAAAACGAAGTGAGCGATGATGATCAAGACTATGAGGTTATTTTAAAAAGATTGATCAAATTGGAAAAGGTACATTATGCAAAAATGATTATTATCATGGTGTGTATTATGTATAGTCGATGAGGAAATATATTAATTTTTCAGCAAATAGCCAGAAACAGAAAGAGAGATACAGAGGCTTCTGAGATGAACACCAAAGTTACATTGGCAATTGAAAGTGTTAATGAGATGAAGAGGACCGTCGAAAATGTGGTATTTATAAGAAGTATTGAAATATTATAATATATACTTAAATCCCAATAAACATATATAGTATATGATAAAGATCTCGCAAATACTTTCCGCCAATTAAAACTTCATATATACGAATAAGTAATTAGGTATGTATAAGGATGAGAATATTTATTTTGTATTTTCTTTCAGATCTAGTTTGCCATTGATCTGAGAATGGTAATATTGCTAAACATGATTTCATCCTTATGATATATCTGTTACTAATGATGTAAAATGCACTCTAGCATACTTTTCATTTAAAATAATAAAAAAGTAGATTTTCAGCATTGAAGAAAAAATGTATATGATCTTGATGTTCTAATATTACAATTTTCATGTATTTTATTTCTTAAGAAATCTTTTAGTTGATTTAATAATAGAGAAAGATTTAGTAGACAATTACTTTAAATTTTTTATCTTGGAGAGAAAAAATGAGTTAACAAATGTTATACCCCGATAGTAAAATTTCAGTTTATTTTCTTTATTTTAAATGACACTATATCACGAGATTATTATGTATTGGTAAAACAGGAATATTTATTTTATGAATTTTAAAATTATTTGTTTTAGCAACTGATGCAACAAGAAGTATACGATATGAGAAGCAAGATGAGACAATATGAGGCAGAAATGAGAAAGATACATCATCTGATAAATCGTGTCGCGGAATTAGAAAATCGTTTGAGACTACGTTGCAGATATCAATAAACTTTGGATGGTTAATTTTTAGCGCTACTAAAGTATTGCTGAAATTATCAATACAATTTCTTAATTATAATAGTAACACTATTTTAATAATACGAAATAATAATCTATTATTTTATATAGTAAATAGTGTTATTACTATATATTATATATATCCAAAAACGATATTTTTTCATAAATTTTTTATTGTTTTGAAATAAATAGAAACGGGTAATAATACTTTTGTATTAGAGATATGTTTATATATAGAAAATACTATATATTTAAAAACTAAATATTTATTTTTTATTTTCTAATTACAAAGCAATGTTGTTTTTTTAATCTCAAGAAATTAACGTAGTAGTAGCTGTAAGATCTACGTGGAATTATTTCTATCGTGAAATGTCACTGCCAGCATTTAGCATATATAATATTTTTTTCAAGCTAATAATAGTAATAGTACAATAAAATTTAAATATTAATTATTTGTATTCAATTTTATAATAAAAAAATAAATAAAATAGATCCTACATTTTTGTATGTATTTTATATATTGTATTAATCTATTATATTAATTATATCATATTAATTTCTTTTATTAATCTAAATTTCAATAAAGATGAAAGTGCACAATATATAATAATTTTGAAATAATATACCTAAAATAATATATATGTTATATATACATATATATGCAATATATATATATATATAACATAGGTAAATATTATAATTGTTATTTAATCATGTAAAAGATTTTTCCAACAGAGAGAGAGAGAGAGAGAGAGAGAGAGAGAGAGAGAGAGAGAGGGAGAGGGAGGGGGGGG